TATGCTCCGGAAACTGTTTTAAATTTTAAGGTAATAGTGACCTTGACCTTTGACCCCAAAATTAATAGGGGTCTTCTACCCAATATGGACAACCATCCTCTGAAGTTTGAATATTGTGGGCCAAATGGAACTTAAGTTATGCTCCCGAAACTGTTCTCAGTATCAAGGTAAAAGTGACCTTGACCTTTGACCTTGTGACCCCAAAATCAATAGGGGTCTTCTACCCAATATGGACAATCATCCTATGAAGTTTGAACATTGTGGGTTAAATGAAACTTAAGTTATGCTCCGAAAATGTTTTCAGTTTTAAGTAATAGTGACCTTGACCTTTGGACCCCAAAATCAATAGGGATCTTCTACCCAATATGGACAATCTTCCTATGAAGTTTGAACATTGTGGGCCAAATGGAACTTAAGTTATGCTCCGGAAACCAAATTGCTAACGGACAAATTGCTTACGGACGGAAACTGTTTTCAGTATCAAGGTAATAGTGCCCTTGACCTTTGACCCCAAAATCAATAGGGGTCTTCTACCCAATATGGACAATCATCCTATGAAGTTTGAACATTGTGGGTTAAATGGAACTTAAGTTATGCTCCGGAAAATGTTTTCAGTTTTAAGGTAATAGTGACCTTGACCTTTGACCTTTTGACCCCAAAATCAATATGAGTCTTCTACCCAATATGGACAATCATCCTATGAAGTTTGAACATTGTGGGCCAAATGGAACTTAAGTTATGCTCCGGAAACCAAATTGCTAACGGACAAATTGCTAACTGACGGAAACTGTTTTCAGTATTAAGGAAATAGTGACCTTGACCTTTGACCTTTTGACCCCAAAATCAATAGGGGTCTTCTACCCAATATGGACAATCATCCTATGAAGTTTGAACATTGTGGGCCAAATGGAACTTAAGTTATGCTCCGGAAACCAAATTGCTAACGGACAAATTGCTAACGGACAGAAACTGTTTTCAGTATCAAGGTAAAAGTGACCTTTTGACTCCAAAATCAATAAGGGTCTTCTACCCAATATGGATAATCATCCTATGAAGTTTGAACATTGTGGGTCAAATGGAACTAAAGTTATGCTCCGGAACCAAATTGCTAACAGACGGACGGACGGACGGACAGACGCCAGGGGGTATAACATAATATGCCCTTTCGGGCATATAAAAAGTAAACAATGTATATTATCTATGCCCCTGGTTAAAACATGATAGAAATATCCCCAGAACCTTTTTACTCGCAATAATAATACATGTAATTATAACAGCATTAATAAGTACATCGCCTTATCTAATAGTCTGAATCTTACACAATTTAATGTTGCATGACAAACATTCTATTATAAAGCTTTCAATATTTCAGTTACTTCATACATAATCAGTGTTCTTTTCTAATTAAAGCATATTATACAGAACTTGCTAACAAATTTGGTCACGATAAGTTTATCTCATGTATAAAATTGCAACTTGCTTGCAATTTAAGTAATTTTATTTTAAGATTCTTATGCTAGAAAGTATGGTGATTGCTCAATTTTAAGTCATTTGTTAAAAACATTTTCATAAATCGGAAACACACTCTATAAATGGCTTGGTACTTCATATCAATTGTGATATTTCTTTTATTAAGAATATTACTTACTGATAAATGTTCACAAAATTGCAAATACAATGTAAATCTAAAAACAATGCTACATAATTAAGGTATAATCAAGTTATATAATGATTAAGACAATGGATTGAAATGATAGAAAGACAAGCAAATGTAAATGAACATAAAAAATTATATACATGTTACACTATTGACCATAAGAAACAGTTAAGTCAAACAAATGTAATAGTTATTATGCATTTAAATTTGGGGTGTAGTTTCATGTTTCTTTAGAAATTGAAGTCAAAATAGTTCTCAGAAATCAAATATTTCTCTGACAAAGATAGAAATGTTATGAGCATGTAAAGCTCCAACAAACTTTCTGATATAACTCTAGTGCAATCACTGTTTGTTTTTACTTTGACTAGAATCAAAAATGATACCTTTGTTTACAGTTTGTGTCCACAATGATAATAGCATATAAATAAATATTATCTTGTCACTTGTGCCTGGTTATATAAAAAAAGAGAATTTCTAATAAAGGAATGTACAAGTTTGTTTTGCGTATGTTAAGAACAACTTAAGCATGTAAATAAAAAGTACTGGGAACATGGTATTTTAAAGGTATTATAAGTAGATTTCAACAATAGTAAATGAATGATTTCAAAATTTAAAAAAAAAAAAAAAAAAATGGGTCAAAGACAGAAAAGGCCGGGTTGCATTTCTATACCAAATATCATGATGCTGTAATGTTTTGAAAAAAATTTACCACTGACCATTAATGTGGAAAATTTAACTAAGTCAGTTAACAGGAAGTGGATGAGTGAAAGACTTGAAATCGAATCCCACAGTATGAGACCATGTCAAATATCAAAGAGCCTGTGATAAGTAGTTGCTAAAAAAACTGTTACAAAAATTTCACACCATTGACCATTGATGTTGAAAATTTAACGGTAAACAGGGCGTGGTGAGCGACAGACCTGAAATCAAATCCGACGGTATGGGACCACGTCAATACTGTATACCAAATATCAAGGGGCTGAGATAAGTTGGTATGGAAGACAAAACTATGAAACTATGAACATTTGTTTACATAAATTCCATAAATAAGTTTAAGGGGGGGGGGGGGGGGTAATTCTGGAAATAGTCATGCTTGTCACACAACATATGTGTAATGATAAGAAATATAAACAAGAGGGCCATGATGGCCCAAAGTCGCTCACCTGTATTTAGCCCCCCCCCCCCCCAGAGCGGAGCCAGTTTAAACCCCAGGGCTTTTATTTGAACAAACTTGGTTAACACCCATTAGAAGATGTTTCATGCTAAACATCTAAGGTCTAGCTTGTTGGGTTTTTTAAAAGAAGATTTTTCCAAGTTTTTTTTCTTTACACATATACATGTAGTTAAAAACAATGACACACCTGGGGCAGGACCAGTTTTGATCCCAGGGCTTTTATTTGAACAATCTTTGTAGACACTTACTAGACAATGTTTCATGCTTAATATCTGAACTCTAGCTATTCAGGTTTTTTCGAAGAAGATTTTTAAGTTTTTGCTATACACATATAAGGAAAATGAATGACCCCTGGGGCGGGGCCAATTTTGACCCCAGGGCTTTTATTTGAACAAACTTGGAAGACACTCACTAGAAGATGTTTCATGCTTAGTATCTTAACTCTAGCTATTTGTTTGTTTTTTTTTCTAAAAAGATCTTTTAAGTTTTTGTTATATGCATATAAGGAAAATGAATGCCCCCCGGGGCGGGGCCAATTTTGACCCCAGGGCTCTTATTTGAACGAACTTGGTAGACATCCATTAGAACATGTTTCATGCTAAATATCTTAGCTCTAGCTCTTTGCATTTTTTAAAAGATTTTTTTTAAAGTTTTTACTATATGCATATAGGGAAAATCAATGACCCCCTGGGGCGGGGCCAATTTTGACCCCAGGGCTTTTATTTGAATAAACTTGGTAGACACCCATTAGAAGATGTTTCATGCTAAATATCTTAACTCTAGCTCTTTGGGTTCTTTAAAAGATTTTTTAAGTTTTAACTATATACATATAGGGAAAATCAATGACCCCCCAGGGCGGGGCCGATTTTAATTCTAGGAACAAAATTTGAACAAGTTTGGTTTTGGACCTATAGATGATACCATAGACCAAATATCAAAGCTCAATCTTGGTAGAGGTCTACCACACAATGTTTCATGCCAAATATCTTACCTGTAGCCTTTGCCAATTCAGAGAAGATTTTTTTATTTTTACTATATACATATTAGAAAAACCTATGACCCCCGGGCCGGGCCAATTTTGACACTAGGGACAAAATTTGTGCAACTTTGGTATTGGACCTTCAGATGATACCATAGACCAAATATCAAAGCTCTAGGCCATTTACTTTCAGACCAGAAGATTTTTCAAGTTTTCACTATATGTATGTAATGAAAATCAATGACCCCCGGGGTGGGGCCAATTTTGACCCTAGGGCCATTATTTGAACAATCTTGATAGAGGTCTACTACACAATGTTTCATGCCAAATATCTACTCTGTAGCCTTTGCCAAATCAGAGAAGAAGATTTTTTTAGATTTTACTATATCAGGGCTCTCAGTAGGGTCAGAATTTCACGAGTCAAAGACTCTTTGGCTAAAATTTTCATGAGTCAAATAATTTTTTTCTAGTGTCATTTGACTACATGAATCATTTTTATGTTACAAAAATAACTGTATTGGAGGTCATTTTTGGAGATTCCAAAGTCTAAATTGACAGAAAAAAAATGCCTAATTATAAATGTCTATACCCCCTCCACCTAAAAACCAAACCAAAAACAAATAAAACAAGAACATGAATTGCTGTGAAAGAATAAAATAAGCAGCAGCTTTTCTTATTAAATGTATAAAATATAAAAAAAATATCTTTACTGGTATGCTATATCATATTAATTTTAAATACCAAAATGTACCAGGTATACTTTAACAAATGCACAGGTACTCCCAGTAAATCAAAGACGTAATTATAAACCTTTTAAAAGCAATCAATAATTGACACCTAAGGTATGTAATTCTTATCAGTTGTGTAGAGCTATTTTTTAGCGCTGTCAAATTGCAGCCACTGAATTGTCCGCGCTTCAGTGCACAGGGTATAAACAATTGCCGTGTGTAAAGCATTTTATAACACGGCTTATACTGCCTGTTGACATTTTTTTATGAGTTGTGATTTGTAACATATGTAGGATTTGATAATTAGGGTGGATTTAAGGTAAATTATTATTGCATAGCTGAAAATCCCATGTGGCAAATTGACTCTTGAGCAGATTTTATCACGTGTCAAATATGTGCATTTGCCCGATTTTCACGAGTCAAAACCCGGATCCCCGTTGTCAACGAGAAGCCCTGACTATATACATATAAGGAAAAACCTATGACCCCCGGGGCGGGGCCAATTTTGACACTAGGGACAAAATTTGAACCACTTTGGTAGAGGACCCATAGATGATACCATATACCAAAAATCAAAGCTCTGGCCCATGTACTTTCAGACAAGTAGATTTTTTAATTTTGTGTTTTTTGAAATCCTTTTCTGGCCCTATGACCTACATATGCAACAGACCGGAACCATTTGAACAACTTTGAAAGGGGACCACCCAAGGATCATTTCTGTAAAGTTTGGTTGATGTGCAGTTATTGGTTTCAGAGGAGATGTTGTTTATGTTAAAAATGTTAAAAGTTGACGATGCACGACGGACGACGGACACAGGGCCATCACAATAGCTCATCCTGAGCATTGCTCAGGTGAGCTAAAAAGTAAATTAATTACTTATAATATTTCTTTAAAAAAATCCTAAGTTCAAATGGATATTAACCTGAAAATATTGCTTTAAGAGTTATGAACCTAGTCACATAAGATGTAACTGAAGAAGCAAGAGGTAGATGCCTTTGAAACTAAAGAAGTCATAGTAAAAACTAATATTTTTCAAGTAAAAAAATCTAAGTTCATGGGGAGGTAATTCTTGCAATATTGGTGCTAGCGTAAACAACCTTGTCACATAACATTTGGTTAATGATAAGGATAATATATTTGAAATATGAAGTTGATCCCTTAAGAAATAAATAAGTAACAGTAAATAATAGCTGTCGGTAGGACAGCAACGCTCTACCATTCTAAGTGCTTGATAGAAAAAGAGCCTTGATAATGTAAAATGTTAACAAAAGGGCCACATTTTCCTTTAAATCCATGTTACTGTTATAGGGCCAAATTTTCCTTTCAATCCATGTTACTGTTATAGGCCTTGAAGAGAGTCCTATTATGCTCTCAAAGAAGAGTATAAAATTTCAACTTGTTCCTAGCCAGATGTCAATAGTATATGAAAATATCTGAGGTGGTATGCAAACTTTAATTAAATAACATAAAATCTAAGTCTAAAAATATTTGAGGTATTACAAAAACTTAACGTAAATTCTAAGTTGAAAAAGGGGCATAATTCTGTCAAAATGCTTGATCCAGTTATCTCCTCCTGTCTACATGTTGGGGTAATGATGGTGAACAAGTGTGCAAAGTTTCAAAGCCATATGTCAATGGACTTTGATATTCGAGATATTACAAAAACTTTTACATAAGTTATTACACCTACACTGACACAGACGCCGACACCAACACTGACGCACTGGTGACTACAATAGCTCTACTTATTTATCGAATAGTCGAGCTAAAAATAACTTTTTTTAGGAAAATTCTATCTTCAAGAGGAGATAAACTTGAAAATATTGGTGCTAGAGTAATGAACCTTGTCACATAAGATGTGGTTGATGATAAGGAACATATATTTGAAGTATGAAGTTGATCCCTTAAGAAATATGGAAGTAATGATAGAAAATAATATTTTTTAAGGAAAATTCTAAGTTCAAGGGGAGATAAATCTGAAAATAGTGGTGCTAGAGTTATGAACCTTGTCACATAAGATGTGGTTGATGATATGGAAAACCAAAACTTTAATAAGGACGCGGACGCCGGGGCAAGTAGGATGGCTCTCCATATACTTTGTATAGTCTAGCTAAAAATGAAAAATAAGAAAGTGTTTTATGCAGTAAACATTAATATAAATATAAAAGTGATATGGCACTTTTTGTACTAAGAAGCGACGAATGATATTTTATCTTTTCTTGCATTCTAAATCTATAGTAAATGATCTTTTTACCGTACTTTTCTTGCCTATTAAATGTATGGTATTGTACCTAACAATATTGCTTTAGCAATGATGTTCCAGGGTTTTCACGTGTTGGTTTACACAAAATATCCATACAATCATATATCTAATTTCTATTATAATACATATATACATTAAACTTTTTACAACATTACCATTAGACAGGATTAATTTTGACCCCAGTGAAACTACTGAAGTTTTCCAGATTGTATGTAAATGATAAGCAGACTGGAAATCTACATGTATACACCTGACAATCTATTTTCCTTTCTTCGAATTTTTCCATGAATATGTGACCATAAGGCTTGGAAATTTTTTAACAACATAGCAATATTCTGTTTCTCTGCTTAACTTCAGCTAGAAACTTTTTAAAAGGAAGTTTTTCACATATTTCCAATACAATTTAGGTGAAACATGTAGGTCCATTGGCATTCAGGGCTTCCATTAAGATCCAAAATTTGGAAGTCAAAGACTGCAAAATGTCTTGACATTGGAAGTCACAAAATATTGGTAAAGAAGAAAAAAGCATTACATTTTGGAAGTCATAAGCCAAATTCAAGGAGTGAAATGACTCCCAAACTTCCATTAATGGAAGCCCTGCCATTACTATGAAAATGGTAGCCTGATGTTCATTTACAAAAAGTGTTTATACCTTGATCATTCAAACAAAAAGTTTCTCCAAAAATTGTGTATTTCTCTTCTAAACAAACAACTTTGCACATTTCAACATCTTACAGTTCACATATATTCGTCTTACATGTCCACAGATATATATACAATGGATAGGAAGCTCAGAAAGTAGTTGATAGTCAGATTCAGATCCACAGTGCGTTTCGGTGATAAGAGGGTTTTCCCACTAGTCCCCGATTCTCGCACTCTCGTTAAACTTCGGCGATATCCATGAACTACTGCCGACATTGTTTTTTTTTTTTTGAGAAATATCTGTGTGGAAAAGTGTGTATGGTACGTTTTAACATATTAAAATAACTATTGCTTCTTATGTAAGTAGAAAATGCTTCGTCTTTTTTTGTCAATGTTCCTCTTGGAATTCAATATGGCGGTATTTTGGCTACTATTACCCAGGATGCATCAAATCTTGGAAAATCCCGAAACACATGAAAACTTGCGTTAGAACAACCCCAATAATACTGAATTTAACTGTATGACGTCTAAGTTACTTCTCCATCTATATTAAGCTCCATGACATGTCCAATCAATCAGTAAATCAATAAGTTGATTGATCATTAGAACATTCAATCAACAATCATCAATCAGAGAATGAATCATCGAGTCAATGAAATCGAGGAAATCAACACTCTGAAATTAAACAAATTACATCAACATAAAAATAGAGTTAAATCAATTTCCTATGTCTGAAATGCATAATTATCATTTAAATAAAAACCTCCAAATTTATGGTCAATTACAATTAACCCATTAACACTTTCTATATGATCTACGTAAATAACCGAGGTATATCAAGTGAAAAAATACGAGTTGCTTCCCTTATCTTTGAGTAAAATTGATATCTCTTATGCTTAAACAAAACTGCTAGTTTGTTCTGATTAAATGTCCGATTTTAAAATGTATTACACCAATAGCAAACGTTGGATCTTAGCTTCGTCACAGTATATTCTTCAACACATCTTTTGACTCCACAAAGTATTCAAATGAACAGTTAAACCTACCACATGTCAGACCATTTTACATACGATTTATACAGTGAGAAAACAACCAGTTATCTTTATTCCTAAAACTACTGATAAGAAAAGCCTCTCGTCTGCTAGTTCTGAAAGTGTTTATCGGTGTATTAAATATTTACAACACATTGAACAGCTTACTTAACCTGTAGGTATATTAACATATAATATAGCTATATGCTTTCTATTGGCCGCCACAATCATAAGTTCATTAAATGAAGTTATTATAAAATACATCATAATCATAAATAAATTCTAAACTCACCAGTTCGTGGAATTGAATGTACCAATAATAGCATTATCTTCTTCAAACACGCATACTGTCAAACTCTCTCTCTGCTGTAACTTCTGCAAAATATAATAAACACAATGTGCAAAGTGATATGAATAAAATGTGAGATTAAGTAAACAGAGAGCTAGATTAACGGATTTTTCTGAAAACAATTCTCAAAGGTTCCAAATCACGAAAACTGATGACATTTCAAATCAGACCACACTCATTACTTAATTAAAAAATCATCTATGACATACACTCTCTAAAACACTAATTTAAACCAAATGCAACTCAAAATAATACTGACCAACTATCAATAATCCATATTTCCAATAAATTAAGAACACTTTGAACTTTTTACAAACAAAGCCGCTTAAACATAGACAAAACTACTGATATTGCGGGAAACCAAGGGAAACAACTCAAACAAAAAAAATATATCAAGACACCTGAATTATCAACACTGTTACACATCATGAAATCCAAATAAGAATTCCAAAACAGATTACATTAAGTTCAAATAATATTGGTAAGTTTTCTGTACCTACTTTTAGAAAATGATGAGATCAGCTTTCACATACAAAAATAGCGTCGAAAACTTTGTTTTTGGTACAAACTACTTCCTTACTCAAAGTTTACGCGAATGAATACTAATGATATTTTTTACTGATTATATCCTGAAAACATGCAAATAATATACGATAGAAATAACACAATCAAAAATGAACTACTGACAATTCAAAATCTTATCACTTGTGTGTGACAAGAAAATCTGTGTAGAACTACTTTGCGTTGTTAGGTACCCGTTCTTATATTGAAATCCCGCAAATTGTGTTAGAACTGTATTCACTGCTAACGCAGCGAATACAAAAACAACATCGTCTTCAATCATCTAGTTCAATGAACGACAGTATTTGGAAAATAATAAAAATAAATCAGATAAAGTCAGATCAATAAGCATTGAAGGATCTGCAAGTAATCGTTGTAAAACGATTATGTTTACGCAAGTGCTTGAGCACTTATACATTTGATGACAATATATGCAAAACCATGTTGAAGTCTCCACCAACAAAACATTTTTGGTCTAAACATATGCTATAATGATTTCTTCACGTAACCTTTTTGATTGTAGAGGAAAAGCTCTACCGCATACAATTTTCATTATAATGATACATACAATTATTTCCTGTTTAAGTAAACTGTTAACATTTTAACGATAAAAATTACACTAATAGTGTGTTGTAATTATCTTTAAAATGTTGCCTTAGAATTCAGAAGCTGTAAATAAAACTAATGTGCTAGTTCACTTAGCCATTCTCTTTAAAATGTGATGTTTGTTTTGTACCGTTTTACTGAATACTCATATACAGTTGTCAGTAATTAACCACAAAGGTATGTATCTTATAAGTCTAATGTTTCAGCTATTATAACACTTCCATCATATAATGTTATTATCACATTTACTCAGATCAATGACTGTTTGCATGTTTCTCTCTTACAGAAACGAACCTGCCATGAAGATAGAAATAAGGCAGAATAAAGTAAATTGAATATTAAAAATATATTTCAATATTTCAAATCGAATGTCACAATTTATTTAAGTAATAAAATTCTTATCAATGAAACCTAAGTCCTTTGACGTTAAGATCAAAATTGTAAACTGCTGCAAAGGTGATGACTTGTAAACTGAATGGTTCCCCGGATAATAAAATGTTGATATCAGGAACCATCATTTACATTCCATCTATTTCAGGATAAAATTTAATGTTTTTTTATCATCACATGTTTTATTAGACAGTTTAATAATGAATATATTATCATATGCTGGATTCCTTATCGCTAAATGTTCGTACAATTTCGTCAGTTATTGTCAGTTGAATAGCTAATATATTCAGATTAAATTTGCTGATATATATTTTAATTTTTTGTAAATCTATTTAGGATTGTGCAGCTATTCGAGGGTTTTATCTTTGAATCAGTTGTTTTGTATGGAATGTATTTTGGGCAAATTAATCACAGTCGACTTCAAATTAAAGTTATTTCTAGATTCTATATTTCATTCAAGAATGACTTTCTGTTTATTTTTAAAATGTCTTTCTTTCATAGGTAACATGACCGATGGCAAATGAGCAATTCTCAAAACAGTTCCAAAATTCCAGAAGCATAATTATCACTGAACATAACTGTTTAAACACGTAAATCACGAATTTCTTGTTTCTCCAAAGTCAATGTTTTTTAACTGTGAATTAGTAACAATTTACTTAATATTTTCTTTCTATCCATGATACAAAAGTCTGCTTAATGACCTGAACAAGTAAAAATCCAACTGTGATTCCAAAGCATATGTTTTAATCTTAAACCTAATCAGCTGAGATGGAAAATAATTTATCCTCAGAAATACAAACTGAATGTAGATATGACTTTTATAAAGTGGTTATTTCACTGACTTGAATAGTAAAATGATATTAAATGCTAGTAACATTAGATTAAATTTAGCACATTATAGAGATAACATTCTTTTTATGATCAATTTTAAGTGGCTTTAAGGTGCATTAAAGTTTTATCGATATGCAAATTTATCATACTATTTATATAATATGATCAATTTGAAAACATTTATCAAATACAGGTCATCATTAAACTCTGCTATATCCCCTGTAACACCATTGTAACAGTTGAGCAAAAGATACAACTGTTTAACTAGCATCAATTTCTCTTTGATGAAATCACTTGATGAAACACTTGTTGCTGATAAAAGATTGACACCACCGATTTTATCAAAAATTAAATGTTATAAATAAATTTGAGTGGCTGCATTAACATATTTATAAAATGAAAATAATATAGTCGTAGTTTGAGAGTTATACTCGCACCGAATGACTGAAATAATTTGAAGAGAAAATTCCGCTCCAAATATATCGGTGAGTTGATACTATGACCCCTTGCTTTAGCAAAGTGTAGATTATTTTCTTCGTTCACTTCACAATATTTTTACATTGTTTTGCTTGAACATTGTTACAAGATTTTTTTAATTTCCTACAAACCGTATAATATTTAAAAAAAAATAATATTTATACCATCGAAGAAAAAAAATTAGAGCAAAGATCAACAGTGCAAGGCACCGTTCACAGAAAGGCAGCCCCTCCACTGACACAATCCAGCCACACCAGTAGGGCATCCAGACGGCAACGAACTGCTTTTCATCGTGTTCAGACAAAATTCCACAAAAGTTAACAGAATTAATAGAGCATGTCTAGTAGTGCCATAAATAGTTTACATATGTTACACAGACAATAACTTTAACGTCGTGTTTCTATTTTAATGATATTTTAATGGCAGTTTTACAGAGGCAGAAGCAGTACAATCCTTTGTTAAGTCAATGAAATTGTGTTTTTCTGTCTGTCAGTTTAAATAATAGACACTTGAATTTTTTTATATAGAATAACATTTTTTCACGATCAAGCAACTCCGGATGTAAGAACTAAATATTGTTATCGGCAGTAATATTGTTCTTCAAGTTAATCTAAAAAAGCAATTTTTTACAAAATTATTTTTAAAAAAGCACAAATCATAAAACCAACATATTGTTTTTCAAATGCAACATTTTTATTACTTCCCTTTTTTGGCCTTCTACTTTAGTGCAATACCAACCGTCGTCTCCACATTAGCTTGCAATACACCAAGTTTTATTACAATATCTCATTCCTAACTCCAATTATTGTCCGAAAACCATTTTTCTATTTTAGTAACTGTGACCTTGACCCCAGGGGGTCCAAATGCAAAACCAACCAGGGTCTTCACAAGCTTGCTATACAGCAAGTTTGATTTTACAATATCTCATTCCTAACTCTAGTTATTGTCCGGAAACCGTTTTTGTATTTTTAATAACGGTGACCTTGATCTTGACCCCAGGTGGTCCAAATGCAATACTTATCGGGGTTTTCACATAAGGTTGCTATATACCAAGTTTGATTACAATACCTCTTTCAAAACTCTAGATATCGTCCGGAAACCTTGAAGTGGACCGACCAACGGTCTGACCGACTGGCCAACCGACCGACCGACCAACCGACCGACCGACAAGCTGACTACTATATACCCCTTAAACTTTGTCTGTGGGGTATAAAAAGAAAAAGAATAAGAGCTAGCATGAAAAGAAAATAAGTTCTATGTTTAAAAAAGCTGTGTCAATGGTTGTATGCCCTTCAGAAGACAATGGCTTGACATGATAAAAAAAAATGAATAAAAAAAAAACAAAAACAAAAAACAAACAACAACAACAAAAATCTAAAACATGCAGTCCCTTGAAGATGTCAGTATATGTTTCGAAACTTACTCGTTAATCATTGTCTGGCAATATGTTTTTTCGTTGTTGACGCGTGTCAAATATTTGGTTTTGCATTATCTGCAAAATTCCTGTTCAGTTTGTACTGTAAATGGTAAATGATTATCATCAAAACTAAATTGCGAATGGACAAATAAGGCATGCCATTTAAGGGCAATAATATGGATGCATTGTTGCAAAAGAGCATTGCAATGTATATTTTTTATCAGTATATAACCAACGGAAAACAAAATCAAACTGATGAGCATTTTGTCTCAATGACAATAAAGCGTAAAGGGCAAAATGTACTTGACTGCGTTTTATACAGACTAAGAAGATGCATAAGCAATCAAACATAGCATGAAGATATCATGGTAGTGAAATATGACGCTTAGTAAGCGAGTAAACAAGAGCTGTTGGTAGGACAGCGTGGTCGACTATTCTCAGTGTTTGATAGTTAAACAAGAGCCAGGATAGATTCTGAAATTCAAAAAGAACCATATTTCTGTCAAAATCCATCTTAGAGATAGAGATAAATGCCCTGGACAGTGACTTCCTATTATGCCGTCAAATGGTGAGTGAAGTGTTAACCAATTATCTTCAGTAGTTTTGGAGATACCTAGTTGCATACAAAAACTTAACTAAAGTGTGACGCCGACGCCGATTCCTGGGTGAGTACAATAGCTCTCCCTATTTTTCGAATAATCGAGAAAAAAGCACTAATTCTATTTCTAAAATAAGAATGCCGGCTACATTTAAAGACATCTAAAATGCATCTTGCACAAACAGAGAAAACTGATGTTTTCTTTGAATAGGAAATATTATGTTTTGTATCCTCATATTTTGTGTTTGTCTGTATAAAGCGGTGCCGGATTATATTCAAATTTTTTATGGATATTGACAAATAAAATGCTGATTCTTTAAAATATTTAATTATTTCATCAAGAAATTTAATATACTATTAACATAAGAAGTAGATGGTATACGATGACATTTTATTTTTGAAATATAAGTAATAAATGCATATCATTTTACCATAGGTTGAACTATAATTTTGCGTCCGAACATAATAGCAGCGTGTTAGCAAACATGATCTTTTATTATCTTAATGGAAAATATTTGCAGAACATTCAAACAAGTATCA